GCCAGCACCCAGGGTTCTAGTCCTGGTTGGGGTGCTGGATTCTGTCCCAGTTGCTCCTCTTCCAGGCCAGCTCTCTGCTGTGGCCTGGGAGGGCAGTGGAGGATGGCCCAGGTGCTTGCGTCCCTACACCCACATGAGAGACGGGGAGGAAGCACCCGGCTCCTGGCTTCGGATCGGTGCAGCGCCGGCCGTGACGGCTATTAGGGGAGTGAACCAATGGAAGGAAGACCTTTCTCTGTCTCTCTGTCTCTCTCTCTCTCAATGTCTATAACTCTTTCTCTGTCTCTCTCTCTGTCTAACTCTGCCTGGCAAAAAAAAAAAAAAAAAAAAAAAAAAAAAAAAAAAAAATTCTCTCCAACAGACTCTGGGACGGGCTCCATACCTGGGAGGCATCAGGATCTCAAAAGTCAAAGGGCATTTCCCAGGCTTGAAACAGGACTCTCTGTTATAATCAATGGAGAAAACAATAATCACGTTGAAAACCCAAGTGAGAGGAAATAAACAAAGGTTCAAGAAGGGGAGCTGAGATCACGTGGAAAGACCCATGGAGTGAGAACAGCACTGTTGCACATGTGAGCAGAGATGCGCTCCGTGGCGGGAATCCTTCAGCGAACACCAAATTGCCTGAGATCCAGCTCCCGGGCCACAAGACAACCACCATCAAGATGCAAGGAGAGGGATTCCTGTGAATCCAAGTACTGAGGGTGCAGGGCCACAGGGTCAGGATCAACAGCGCACACTCCTGGGCTTCTGGTTACTCGGGACAAGGCAGGGGTCTGTGGGCTGTTCCTGGTCAGGATGGTGTGCGGGGCAAAGTCTCGTGTGGATCCGCACAGCAGAGGGGCTCTGGCCCGTGGACATGGAAGCACCAAGCAGTTTTCCTGGAGAGAACCACACGAGGCTGTGGCTAATCCAACAGCATTCTGTAGCAGGGGTAGGACAACAGCCAAGTCTCAGCTCTGGTCTGTTTTAGAAAGACAGAGACACAGGAAACACAGTGCACCTCCCCAGCAAGGAGGAGCAACCCTGTCAGGTCTTAAAATCCTGCAGGACCAAGGCACATTCTTACTTGCAAGCTTCAAATCCGAGGAGTGACTCTGGATCTAGCAACATATGGCTCCACAAACCCCATCTTGCAACACCTCTGCAGGAGCTACTGTGGATCCCCACAGCTGTTAAAATTCCGCCTCTCACGTGTACAACCCACACGCTGCCCCCTGAGATCCCTTTCCATTCACTGGGGTGGAGTGCATTTTAACAAGCTCCCCACGGGAGACCGAGGCGACGGCCCCTGGATCACAAGGCCGTCTGTTGCTAGTGGGGAAGAATCCGAAGCAGGAGTGAGGTTGAGTCACTGCATGCGCTCCACAAACACTGCTGCGGAAAAACGCAGCCCGAAACCAAAACACCACCCGCCCAAGCCCCAGTTTAGCATTTGTTCCTACAGTACGGAGCAGGGAGTCAGCAGTAAATGAGTCGCCTGTTACGTAAGCTGCTGTTCTGTATGCAGAACTTTAACTCACCAAAGACAAGTTGCAGCCACATAAAAAGCAACAGCCCACCCCCAAAACAAATGCTGTGTGAGTGCAGCCAGGATCCCCCCGCCAGGCAAAGAGGAGCCTTCCTCTTGATGCAAAGCCACTGCCCAGCCCTGGGCCTCCGGGGAGCAGACCCTTGGGCCCAGGTCAGGGAGGGTGGGGTTAGGGAGGGGCTACGAGGAGCCTACTCAGGGCTTCACCTGGGTATGCACACTGCCTTCGTCAAAGCTCCCCTTGGACTGTGAACATGAGGGGAATCATGTTTTGCTTGGTTATACCTCTGACCTCTTGCTGGAAAGTTCTAGAACCTCAACCCCCGTCTGTCTTAGGTCATGTCCAAGAACTCAAACCTCTCTTTGACATGACTCTGCTCTCCCTGGCAAGGACCCCCAGTCGCTTCCTCTCCCAGGTTCCTTCCACCTGGATGATAAGCTAGTTCTAACTAGAGTGTTAGAAGCTGACGTTCTGGGACACTTTCCCCAGCAGGGACCACAGAAGATGTCAATGCAGACGCAGGGGAGGCACAGTGTGTATGCGGCATATGTGTTGCTCTTTCTATGAAGTCAGCCTCAGGCACCTTCTCAACACGGAGCCAGAGGTAGCTACTGCGACCCACTGGAAAAGCAGACGGCGACGGTCAGGGAGAAGCCCTAGCTATCCGTACACGACTCCACCCTGAGCACTAGCACGTGACTGATCCGGAGGAAGGGCTCCCAAAACCAATACTGAGTTAAACCGACAACCGATGAGGCCCTCCACTGCCGCCACACAAACAGCGCATCTCGAAACGCACTGGAGTCACCTGGGTGCGGGCCACAAGCCCATCTTCTGGGCTCCACCCAGACTCTGCCAATCAGATGCTATGGGATCTGAGTTTCTGACATACACATGTGACCTTCGGAACCACTCTCTGACCTCTGCAGGCCTCACGGCCACCAGGATGCTAACGGGTCAGCAAACAACGACACCAAGGTGGGCAGTGTCCCCTTGCCCACCACGCCAGGGGTCAAGTGGAGCATGGAACATGTTCACAGCAACACCAAACCAAAACACGCGAGACAGTATCAGAATCTACAAGGTGTACATCAGCACTCGGGAGCTAAAAAGGCCACCGCGGACCTCACCAGGCCAGTCCTCAGCTATTTCCCCTGGCCTTGGGGTCCCCTGGCCACTGCCAGGGTCACGGACCAGGGGCCACCACGGAGGCCCATGGATGGGGAGAGAAGATGGCTGGCACCCCTGGCCCACTTTAGAGAGCAGCTTTAGAGAGAGGTGCGCGGTTCTCTGCAAGTCTGGCTCCTCTCCTCCATGCTGCAGCCTGGCAACCACAGTCAGCAAATGGTCCTTCCTTGTGCTTCTGCCCCAACACGTTTTGAGCAGGGCAGGCAACCAAACCCAGGCTCCCCGCACCTGCACCCAGGGAGCCTCGGCGGCCGCCTCGCCACCCTTCCCGAGCCAGGGAACTCCGCGACTGCCGGCAGCTGTCACCGGAACATCAGACGGGGATGTTGATGCCAAGCCTCATTTACACAAGCCCACTGCTCCCCGAGAGATGAATTTTAAAACAAACAGCTTTTACATATGCTAGTAGCACAGTCACATCAGCAACAGGCATCCCCAGACAGAAACATGAGTCAGTCTGGGGCAACAGCGGCTAAATAAATCCTGTTTGGGTGAAATCTCTCTCTGGGGAAGGAGGATCCCCAGAGTGGGGATTGCTCAGGCTCCCAGGCAAGAGTCCCTGGCGACACCCAGCTCTCCTGGGGACGGCATGCTGCGATGCTCCAAGCGCTCAGACTCTCAGATCACCAGCGTGACTCGGATGTGCGTCTGTCTCAGCACTGCTTCCCTGGTGAGCTCTTCCAAGTGGCCCATCCGCACCCCGGGGTCCCCACCCCCACACACACTCTGGCTGCCCCAGAGATGTCTGATGACCTTGCAGTGCTGGGGACAAGCTGTCCGCGCCCACGTAGGATCTCCTGACATCCCGAGATGCAGGGCTCTGGTGGACACACGGGTCTGAGAAATGAGACTGTGCCTGTACCCAGCCCGGGGTGCTCCCAGAAACACAAGGCCAGCAGGGCCTCAGCAGGGGAGCAAACGGACTATCGAGGAAAGGTGCGGCTGCACCTTGAGTTACCCAGGTCACGGCCTCCCTCCTCCTTAATTTTCCCTGCACAGACTTGGAGGGAGGGAGGAATTCCATCCTCTTAACCAGCAGGGGTGGGGACACTTTTTCCTGCCAAAGGCTACCTGGGTATTCACAACATCATTTGCGGAGCATACGAAATTATCAACTTAAAACTTAGCCTGCTACTGATCGACTGCTTGCTTGTGCTTGCACTGGCAGGGCCGGACCAATGGTTCCGCAGGCTGGCTGTCCCCCATCCCTGAATACAACCCACAGAAGCCGCCTTGTTAGTCGGAGGAAACAAGAAGGTGCAAATCGGAAGAACTCGCTCTCGATGGGGTCAAGGCAGCATTTAGGATCCTCTGGGGTCTGAACTTGGGCGTGGCCCTAAAATGCCTGTGTTGAACAGGCCCCTAGTCCAACAGCATTAAGGAGGTTGCCTTTAGGAGGTGATTAAGCTGCAAACGCTCTGGCCTCATGCATGGAATCTATGCCCTTTTAAAACAGGTTGATGGGTGCTGCCTCACCCCTTCTCCCAAGGGAGGACGCAGAGAAGCCACCATCCACAAGGAAGGGTCCCAGGGAAGACAATGCATTCGCTGGCACCTGGATCTGGGCACTGCCCAGCCTCCAGGACTGTGAGCAGTAGGTGTCAATCACTGACGGATTGCCTGGTCTAAGGCGTTGCTGTTAGAGCAGCCTGAATGTACTAAGGCGGGCCCTAATGTAAAAGTGAGGCCGATCAAACGTCCGAGTGACAGCTGACGGGCTGGGTAGGTGAATTTCAAGTGCAAACTGGGTCTGAGAAGGTGAAGCAGACCCCAGCCCAGCCACCCTCCCCCTGCCCCAGCTGCACTAGACTGCAGGTGAGGGCTCTGCGGGGCACCCTGGGAAGGTGCTGGCCTCTGGGGGCATCCGAGTATTGGGCCCTGGAGGCCGAGGACTCTGAGCTGCCTTTAAGGATGTGGCTCCCGGGGCAGCCACCCTGGCCTTAGGTGAGGGGGAGGGGAGGGGGGAGGGGAGAGGGAGAGGGAAGGGGAGAGGGAGGGGATAAGGGAGAGGGTACCATGCCTTGGGTGCTGTGCAGCGGAGTCGGCACCCACTGACCCACTACAGACTCCGCTGCAGTGTCACAGGCTGGGTCTCTCACGTGCAAAGGGGGCTGCCACCAACGAGAGGGCAGGTGATTAAGTTCACAAGGCCCCAGGTGAGGCCAGCAAAGGGTGACAGCTGGGAGTCAGGGGATGGGGACAGGGCTGTTTCTGTATTTTCCCAGGCTGCACCCCAAGCCCCTGGTCTTGCCCAAGCCAAGAGAAAGAAAAGCCACAAACCGAGCCCGTTCTCCGCCAGCGCTGCGTGGTTCCCATCACACTCGCCCGCGTCCTGCTCGCCCATGTGGTCGCTCAAATCCAAGCCGGGCTGATGGGAGCCGTTGCCAAAGGGCCTCTCGTCCTTCTCAGAGCCGGCATCCCCATTCTCCACTCCGTTCTGCGCCTTCTTCAGGGGCATGATCTGCAGGCCACTGGGGGTAGTCCTGTACGACACGGTCTTGGCGGCCCTGTCGCCTCCCCCGGGGGGCTTGCCCGAATACCCCTTCTTCGGCTTGGACAGGGGAGGGTTGATGCGCTTCCGTTTGTGGGAAGTCCCTTTGCTCTTTCCGGGTTCGGCAGGCCTGTGGGGGAGCTTCTCCACGGAGGCGCCACGGCTGTCACGCAGGAGCTTGGCAGTGCCTGGCTGCTTCCCCGCCTTGACCCTCTTGTCCTTGCACAGGTGCAGCCCGTTGAATTCGTCAATGAACTCCTCACAGTGTAGGAGGTGGTGCTCCGGCTCCCACGTGTCCTCCGTGCTCCCATAGCCTTTCCATCGGATGAGATACTCCCATTTCCCTTTCTTGTTCTTCCTCTTGTCTACAATCCTTTCAACCTAGGATAAAAGGTGAGAGAGTCAGACACGAGAGAAAAGGAACAGCACAGAGCCCTCCTGGTCACGGGGCGGGCTGTGCAAAGCCGGAAGCCGACATTTCCAGGGGCACTCGGGAAGCTGGGCTTAATTATGGTGCTCGTGGAATTGGACCAAAGGCAGGCAGTCACTGCCCACGACGACTTGTGACACTACACCCGGCTGGGCACATCCACGAGTCCACCCATGCTTGTTCGAGTTGGAAACTGCACCGCAAGCTTTCACATAGAAATCTTTGCCATTTTCAACACACCGCAGCAGACTCGGTCTTTCAAAGACCAATTCAGAGTGGATTTTTCAGCCTCCTGACTTATAAGAATGAGTACCGTGCACTGAGCCATTTCGAGCCTAATTTATGCTTGGTTATCCAACACTAACGATGAGGAACAGTCATGGGGCACTGATGCAGCACACGCTACTAAACGCTGGGCACTGTCTGTCTCCCGGCCCATTATCTCCCAACAAAAACCCAACGACGTCGGTGCTTTCTCATTCCCCATCTTACAGGGAGGGAAGCGGAGCCCAGGGAAATGATTCCAAGACTGATGATGGCAGAGCTGGTGTTCAAAGCACTCTCACTCCAGACCCAGTCTCCCAACCACCAGACCATACTAAGTCTCCCAGCTATAAAAAACTTCCATATGGACCAAAAAGGATTAAAAGGGAAAAAGCCCAATTCTGCACTGTGCACCTCCCAAGATGCAACACAGGGACCAACTGGGAGCAAGGGGACAGGTAACTTTCGCTAGGAGCCAGCCTTGAGCCTCACAGAACCCCAGTGGTGCCAACTAACATTATTCCCACGTGGCGGAGGAAGAGATGGGTTGTGGGCAACCTGCCTCCAGGGCAGGACTAGGGCAGGATGGAGGTGGGATCTGAACCTGTATGTTCTGGTTCTAAAGCCACGTGCTACTGTCTGAGTGTAAGAAAACCTCCTCTGTGCTTGTGTAATCCCAGGGAAAACGCACCCGGAGGGACGCCAGGCCTAGTGTCAACAACAGGTGTATGTGACAAGGACGTGTGAGGTTTACTTATGACTCTTGACGTTGCTGTGATTTTGAATATTTTTAGTTTTAAAAAATGGTGGAAAACTACCAATACTCGACTCCAAATTTCAATAAAAACGAAACAATTATATTTTAAAATTTACTTAATTTAAATGTTTTTGTAATAGACATTGAGCGGAATGTGGAATCTTGATCTAATGAAATTGACTTTTCTAATGGGAAGTGAGATACTCAGCAGACTCATAGAATGGCAGATGTCCTAAATAGCACTCTGGCCTCAGAATCAGCCCTAAAGGCATTCGGATCTGGCTGAAAAGCCCATGAGAGTATTTCAGGCATGGAAAGCCAAGACACTCTGGCAAAAGATCTCTGTGAGTGAGATCCAAGTGGAAATAACAGGTCTTCAAAGAAGGAGGTACCTTTCTCTGAAGGGAGGAGAGAACCTCCACTTTGACTATGACCTTGTCTAAACAAGATAAGAGTCGGAGAACTCAGAGGGCTTCCATAGCCTTGGAAACTCATGACTGGAGCATAGGGAGATTACTGATGCCATAGACAGGAGTGTCAATTGGTAAAGTCAACAACAGGAGTCACTGTGCACTTACTCCTCATGTAGGATCTCTGTCCTTAATGTGCTGTGCATTGAGATTTAATGCTATAACGAGTACTCAAACAATATATTTCACTTTGTGTTTCTATGGGGGTGCAAACTGTTGAAATCTTTACTTAATGCATACTAAACTGATCTTCTGTAAAAAAAAAAAAAAGAAATTATCAATTCCCAACTTGACTCTCACTGGGATTAAACATGACAATAGGTCTGATCTGATTTCATCATCATTTAAAAAAATCATCTATTATTTTTCACTTTATGTTTCTGTGTGGGAGCAAACTGTTGAAATCCTTACTTAATGTATACTAAGCTGATCTTCTGTATATTAAGATAATCGAAAATGAATCTTGATGTGAATGGAAGGGGAGAGGGAGTGGGAAAGGGGAGGGTTGCGGGTGGGAGGGACGGTATGGGGGGGAAGCCATTGTAATCCATAAGTCGTACTTTGGAAATTTATATTCATTAAATAAAAGTTAAAAAAAAAAGAAATTGACTTTTCTAGAATGGCATTTTGACCCAATCAGATTAAATAACAAATAAGGAATATGCCCTTGAAACTTATGAAAAAAATAATATTGGAGGGGGAAGGTGGAAATAATTATAGTTGGTAGTATTTTGAAGTGGGTAATGGATATGTGGGAGTTATTCGATGTTTATATGTTTGAATTTTATATGCTTAAAATTTTCATAAATAGAGGTAAGAATTCCTCAGCCGTGAGATCATCTCACTAGTGACTGATATATAACAGCAGATATGCAAAATAATCAGGGGTGGGTGTTGTGGTGCACTGGGTGAAGCCAATACTTAGGCACCTGCATCTGGTTATAGGAGCAACAGTTCTAGTCCCAGCTGCTCCATTTCCCATCCAGCTTCCTACCAGTGTGCCTGGAAGCAGCAGATGAGGCCCAAGTACTTAGGTTCTTGCTACCCACATGGCATGGATGGAGTTCCCGATTTCAGCCTGGCCCAACACAGCACCTGTATGCACTCATGGAATGATGGGAGAACTCTCAAGTTATCTCCCTCCCACTCTCTCTCTCTCCTTCTCCCTCTCCCTGTCATTCTGCCTTTCAAATAATTAAATCTTTAAAAAACAACTTTCACTGCTTTATATTTAAGAAATACGTAACAGCTAGGACATCCTGCGCATTCATAATACTGCCTCTTCATAGACAGTTTCATTTCCTTAATCGATTTATCTCAATTCAAATTGGATTGTGTCTATTAGCGCTTCTTTCTTTGAGCGGAATATGCTGAAACACTGCTCAGTGAGCCTCTGTTTTGGATTTCTTACATACAGTTTTCTGTGTATCATGCAAACCCTGTAACAGTTGCGAAAAAGTAAAAGCGCACCTGACTACTCCAACTTCGCTCTGGGTCTACAATTTGGGCTACTGAGCATTCATGGGCAATGCAGCTTCAGAAAACCAGCAGTGTGCCTGGAGAAGTCTGGACTCGGCCCATTTTGAGGGTGTTGTAGGGGAAACTCTGTAGGTTCACAGAGGGAGGGGAGTGAAGAAGCAACCAGAACGGTGTGATATGGTGACTTCTCCAAGGACACCAACGCAGGAGGCGGGCAACAAGCCAGATGCGCATGGGAGCTAAGGGATGTGTGTTGGTGTAGAGGTCCCCAGCTCTAAAAGCAGATGGAGAACCATGTCCCCAGGGTGAAGCAGAGGGTCTGCGTCAAACAACCAGCACAAGTCGGGGGGCAGTGGATAGATGAACGGAAGGACAGATGGATGGGTGGGTAGACAATGAAAGGGCAGATAGAGAGCTGGGTTGGGGAGTGGATGGCTGGGTGGGTGGATGGATAGACGACAGTCACCGACCAAAAATGGGCTGAGTATATTATTTGAGAACACGGACTTCAGCCAAGACTAATTTAAATCCCCCTTTAAGACTTTCATCATGTGTTCTTGAGAAAGTCACTAACCCTCTTCGGGCCTCTGATGATTCACCCAGCCAGGGGGAAGTACCAGCAGCTACCTCACCGTGTGGCTGCGGGGAACAGACAAATATGGACTTTTTTTGCATTCCACAGTAAAGGTCACTTAACCCTACACAGCCTTCCTGTGGCCACAAACCTTGGTGGTGTGAGAAGACATAATGTGTCCCCAACCTGCAGAATATGACCAGGACAGTCCGCTCTCCCCTGGGATGAAGAAGGAGTCCCTGTACTCACAAGAGTCCTCAGGTATGGAAGACACCAAGCACAGCAGAGCGGCTCAAGCAGCCTGCAGGAGGGTCTCCATGGCTCCTTGGGCCACACTGGAGACAGAGCTCAGTGCCGTCCCTGTGAGTTACCGGAGGTTTTAATTACAGAGTCACAGGTTGTTTTATGAGGGACAGAAAGACCACTGCTTCCACCTACAGAGTCACGGGGTGGCGAAACAACCATTTCTACTTAAATTACCCAGTACCAATGACGAGCAGTATTAACAAAATCATCCCAAAGAATCTGGGGTTTATGGGGGTAAACGTGGCTCTACCCTTTTCTGTCCCTGTGGCCCTGGGCAGCTTGTCCAACCTCTCCAGGCCTCAGCTTCCCCTGCAGGGTTTCTGGGAGAACTGAAAGGAATAAGAGAACATATCTCCGACACCCCAAAGCACCACAGGCCATCGTGGGAGACCACTCTGAAATGTACATCAGACCTCAGCTGACAAGGGTGCTGTTAGACACATGTTTCATCCATGGCTTAAAGACAAACAAGGCTTTTTTCAGTTTCAGAAAAACAAATGCTTTCTCTGAAAGACCAACATGCAGGAAAACTGGTTCTCAAATGTCCAATCCTGTTTTGATTCCTGTCTTGTCCAAGGCCCAAACCTCCTCCTTCACACCTCTGGGTCAGTTTGCTAACCCTCTTTCCTCTTCCACTGAGGAGTGTGTCACCAAGAACCAAAATTCTAATGCGTTCTGTTATAACAAAAGCCCAAGTCACTTAAGACTTGGCCGTACGTGTGACAGCAACCTTCTGTCTGGGAAATCCTTTCTTCTGCACGGCACCTGCAAACCTCCACCACTGTCTCCTAACTCCTACCCTGCTGGAAACAGACCCGGCTCCTGGTCTTGGCAGCTCTGTCTCCTGATGCGGCACCTCAGTGGACCTATAACGCCACGTGCATTACCCACAGATCAGTCCTTCCAAATGGCAATTAACTCCTTCACCTTCTACTTGCACATAGCAAGAAATGCATGAACCGTAATAGAAACCTGTGTGTGCACAGCCCCACAAGTTTCTTTGTTCCAAGATGAGCAATCCGAGATGCTGAATCAATCCTCAGAGCTCAACCAAACCATTACTTAACATTTACTCTCTGTGGTCCCAGCCAACCTGAGACG